ATGCATGGCTGCAGAAATTGATTTAATATGTGATCTTTGCCACTGAAAAACTATTTTTTTTTCTTAGAGAATGCCATTGAAACAGAGCTTTGTCTAAATGAGAAGTCGGGAATTTAAAACACTCACTTCCTATAACAACCTCAGAAATTTCCATGTTTACCTACTGCTTATGTACTTAGTTAAAAATAATCATTTCAAAATTACTTCAGTGGAGTCAAATAGATCGTCATTTGAAAATTCTGTGGCAGGCTTAAGCTAGTTCGTCTGAAGGTGAGTGTGAAGGTTGTGAAGGAGAGGATGAAACTCCAGGGCTCTTCTTCTGGTCTCCTCACCATGATGCACCAAATCAGAGAGTAGTTTTGTAGACTCATAAATTCTCCTCAAGTCACTGCACAGCCAAGAGAATGGCATTGAACATACTTCAAGATGAACCCAGAAGGTGCTACTGGAGGACTGTAGAGAAGCCATCTGTAACAACAGCAGAATAATCGTCTATATGTGCCTTTTATGTCCTGTTTGCTGCTGGAAAGATGAACTGTGGCCCAGGAAATTCTGTAGTAATACAAGCACAAAGTTATCTTATGGTGATCCTTCTCCTTTGTGAAAGAAGGACGATTCTTTCGTGTGTGTGTGTGTTTTGTATGTGCGTACATAATGTATGCATGCTATATGTAATTTATACATACACACTTTCAGTATACATCAACCTAGACCAATTAAAAATAGCTTTAACATTTACTGAGCATTTGCTATTACTGGTCTAGCACTTTGTATTTACTCATTTAACCTTCACAAGAATCATTATTCCTATTTACAGATGAAGACATTGACAGCCTGGTAAACAACTTGAACCAGTCCACATAGATGATAATTGGTTACACCAAGACTTGGTACCAGGCAATCTTCTTCCATGCCTTCACTATATATATATTGAGACAGGGTTGTGCTCTGTTGCCCAGGCTGGAGTGTAGTGGTACAATCATGGCTCAGTGCAGCCTCAACCACCTGAGCTCAAACAATCCTCCTGCCTCAGTCTCCTGACTAGCTGGGACCATAGGTATATGCCACCATGCCCTGCTAATTATTTTTTATATTATGAAAAGATGGAGTCTCACCATGTTGTCCAGGCCCAAATGATCCTCCCACCTCTGTGGGAGGGATTACAGGTGCTGGGATTACAGGTGTGAAAGTGCTGGGATTACAGGTGTGAGCCACCATGCCCAGCCAAGTCTTCACTTTTAACTGACCCTCTGCTTAGGTCCAATATGTGTTTCATTTTAGGAACTTCCCCCTCTCTCTTTCCCACCTACCTTCAAGCATGACTATAGGACCGAGAGGAGACTGAGAAACACAGGAAGCACTAGAGTGGTTGAAAGGAGCTGAAGACTCAGACAGCAGTCTAGACACTAAGGGTCCAAAGCCAAGGCCAAGGTCAAGCAGCTGGACAGAGACACAACTGCAAACACAGACTTGGATCCTGACCTGATTTTCTGCAGAAGCAAGTCCCTGTTCAGACATCTACTGCCTCCTTTTGGAATGAAGCCAGGTATAAAAATCTAGAGAAACCAACAAAAAGACTGACAGACAAATATTTATTGTCTAGGACTAAGAGGTACAGTTGAGACTGGAACATAATACTTGAGATCGGGGAGGTAGGTGAAGAAAGAAGACAGTAAGTCTGTAAAGATAGTGCATGCATATTTAAAATGTTCTGCAATTTACAAAATATGGTGGGGCTAGATAATTTGGACTTCATGCCAGAGGAAGTAAGAGATTAGCAAGTTCGGGCAATGTACTCATAGTAACCCATCAAGTTAGTGCAGAACCAGCACTGTTTGCTAAAATCTCCTCCCTGCCTGCCCATTGGGTATTCTTTCCATGAAGCCAGGCTGCTTCTCAATTAGTCAGTTCAGGCTCCAAAGGCCAATCAAAATTATATATGGAAACTTAAACTTGTATCACTGAAATGTTCCCTATAGAGCAGTTGTGCTACATAAAAATATATGTAAAATGTATAAGGTAAAATAGTACCAGCTCTAGAAATAATTTCTAACTCTTGAACACATACATGTACTATGTCCTGATGTACTGGCCACTTGTTTTCTTCCCAGCCAGTTCTTTCTATCATGTGCTCCTGTGGACAATGACCCCAGCTCAGCTAAGTAGTTGATGGGACATCTGATTCAGGTTGGACCTAACAGAGACATCTGATTCAATCAGTATTCTCCTCCAGAAATTTTGTAACCAGCGCTTGCAAAGCGGGGGGAATTACTCTCCTGTGGGGAGAGCCACAGAGTGAGAGATGGGGTGACCGAAGGCAGCCATGTTTTCTGTCTCATGATGGAATCCAATCTTCTTCAGCAGGAGAAAAAATATGAAGCCAACACTAGTAGGTGTGAGAGAGATACAGAGTTCTAGCTGTGTCAAAACTTTGTTTCTCATCGTTCTTGAAGTCCATATATGTGTTTGCCCTGTCCATGGTTCAGTTGGATTGTATGCCCTGTCCTTTTCTTTGATCATATGGGATGCCCCAATATGGTCTTTTAGCAAATTTCCCTCTTTAATTGCCAACTACATAGAGCTGTTCTAGTCGCTTGGTATCTGTATTAAATTGTATTACTGTAACAATTCTTCACTTCTTCCTTTATATATGGATGATGTGTATGGATAAATAAAAGATCTATGCATACGCTTTGTCATATGACTTGCCTTCTTTCTGATAGGGAGTGCATATCCCTGCTCCATTGACTTTGAGCTTAGCCATATGACGCATGTGGGTCAAATGTAATGTGAGAAATGATGGGGTAGCAGTTTGAGCAGAATCTTCAAGAGGCACCATGCATTTCCACCGCTATTCTTGTATTTCTGCCCTCCTTCATGAGGACAACACATATCAAATAGGGGCCATTGCTTCAGCCTGACTCCAGGAATCAGCAGACAGAGCAGCCTTATCATCCACCTGCTTCCTGCAACACAGCCTCAGAACCACAGAGTTGCAGCCAACCAGCTCCTGATATGGAACTTAAGCAACAAATGCCCTTTGTTTTTGCAAGTCCCTGAGATTTAGAAGCTGTTATACAGCCTTCTCTCAGCCAGAACCGACTGACACTGTATCGTTACAGTCCTATCAATTTGCCCTATGCAAAGTGTTTTTATATGCCATGAATTTCTGAACATAGAACTACTATTATTCCCCACGTTGCAGTTGAGGAAACTGAGTCTTAGAATGTATAAACAAGTTTCCCAAGTCTACTGAAAGTGACAGGAATCAAACATATCTTTGCCTAACTCCAGATCCCACGCTTTTGAAGATGATTATACTGCCTAAAGCTGTATCAGACTTTTCTAACAGGCACATGCGGCATATTTAGTTGCTTTCTGTGGCGAAATATGACCTGACTTGGAAAATATTGTTGTACTTTATTATGAGATTCTAATAAGCAACCATTATACGTGTATGTAATATATACAAGCATCCTCATAAACTTATGCTATTCCGTATAGATATAACTAGCTTTAAGAAATTCTGAAGAGTAGGGATATTAAAAACACTGAGCCAATAAAGTAGAATAAATTATTTATTTTAGGCAATTTTCATTTATAATATTAAATTCTCGGTCTCCCTCTCAAATGGACTCTGGGTTTTTTTCAGATAGAAAACTTTCCACACATATTTAAAATGTTTTACAATTTACAAAATTCGATTTGTGTGTATTTTTTCAGAAATTGTGTAAAGGCGAATTACATCTGTAACACACTGAATAACTATATCTATGGGGGAGGTTTTATGGCAATTAACAGGTGGCTTTAAGAAAATAATTGACGATTCAATAGCATTTCTAACTATTATTTTTGAAAGAGTTTTAGACATTTTAACAAGCAGTTTCAAGGGTAATTGTTACTGTTTTTATTTTTAGAAACATGGCACTGTGTAAGTAACAATTTGCTCTGCTATCTACATATTTGCCTAATTTTACAAGTGGTGAAATTTCTCTGTCCTGGCTAGAGTTGTTTATTGGCAGCATGTGGGGATTTAGGGAAAGAGGAGGAGGGAAAGGGAAAAATTTGCCCAGGACAGAGCCCCTACACAATGCATTGGCTTGATGCCTGGCTCTCTCTACGCCCATTCATCTACGTGCTTCTTGGAATGAAAGCACAAACAACATGTCAAATGGCTTTATAATGTGCTGAGAGAAAGGCAGAATTCTGAAACTATATTTAGAATCCTCCACTCTTAGAATCTTTTTCCCAAAGTATCAATTCTTCTCTGTTTATACCTCCTAAAGACTCTGTCTGTTTTTTGCCTCTAGATCAGTGAGAGGTTGACCGAGGGACAAGGCGTTTTTTTAAAAATGTGTATCTTTACCTCTTATTGGTAGAGGTGATAGCTTTTTGACTGGCCTTTCAAGCTCTTTGATCCATTAGGAATAAAATCTTTAATGTTTGTAAGGGAAGGACTAGGACTTGGTGATAATATATGTGAGTGAAGGTCTTGAGACAGGAATCAGAAGGGCCCTCCCTCTGGGTACATGCTGAAAATGTAGGAGTTGGGAGGTCGATACCATCTATCTATCATTGACATTTGCAGCTGGTGGATCAGATAAATCTGAGAAAGAAATTCTTCTCGGACGACCCTCTGCACAATCACTGTAATTTGCTGTGGTCTGTGATGAAACTTTAGGCAGACAGTAGACAATGGAAATGAGTGCAGACGTGATCACGAGGTCTTTGTGGGTTACAGAAACAGAAGGAGGCTGCTATTTGATTAAGAACTGTAGGAATCTTGCTGCAACCACAAATGCTAACAGTAGCAGGTGAAAGATATTAGCAAAGCATGCATGAATTTGAATAAGGTATAGCTGGGTGATCAAACTTAAGCATTGAATAAGATATCTTTGGGAGATAGAACTTAACACAAAGCCTTCCTTATTCCTTCTGGCATCTCCATTTGGGTCAATTTAGGACTGTGCCAATTTTTCTCAATGGAACCTTTTCGAATTGCACAAAATTTTTAGTTCAAACAACAAAATTAGTGGTTGTAACTTACCATTTTCAAAGTCACCTATAGAAGGTAGGCTTTGTATTCCTGTAAGCAGTTTCACATTTAAGATTTGTCCCATTTAGCTAGTATTTAGAGCTTAGTTTTAGAAAAAAAAGATATATTGTACATATATTTTCAAATAGGAATTTTTCAGATTCATCCAGAAGCTTGTTTTCCCACAACAAGGAAAAACGTTATTATTGTCACGTGTAAGTGTGGCCCTTTTGTCTTAAAAGACACCAAAACAATTCTGTGTCTACTCCTCTAGTATGGAGCTCATTAAATTCTCTTTCCAATGTTTTCTAGAAGGCTTTGTTCGAATCCATGTTTATATCGAACTAAGCTGTGGTCTCACATATCATTAGTCTTTTATTGACAATATCAGGCTTCAGGAAAAGTGATCACTCATCACATACACAGTACAACAGCTTAGCTGAAGCTGACATAGTAAATATGCAAGGAAACTAGTTCAAGTGCAGACAAGCCCATGCCTGTTCTATTAATGGGTGACATTTCAAACAATAGAGCTGTCAGACCCTACTGCGAATAAAGAGGCTTAATCATGGCAGGAATTAGTGCACACGACAGGTGATTATGTGTTGGAATTATGCCAGGACCAGGGACCAGCTGCAATGCTTCACATTATTTGTAATCTCAGTAATTACAGCTTTGGGAAAAAAATTATTTGGGATTGGAGAACCCAGAATTGGTGAGAGAAGTAAACAAAAACTACATACAACCTTTTTATTTCCACAATCGAGGTCTCTACAAATGGGAAAAGTTCAACCCACATTATAAATTTAAGTCCATCCCTCTTCTCTGCAATTCAACACCACAGCAATATAATCATGCCTTTTTTTCCCTTTCTCAAAGTCCAATTATAGTGTCTCCTTGCAAATAAAATAAGCTTTCAGCCATCTACTTACTAATTTGAGCTGAGAATTTTTTCTAAAATTATTTAGGCTGCAATATCCAAAGGCGCTCAGGAAAACATGAGAACCAGCTGGAAAGGCATTTTCCCATGTTCCCACTGTTTTGCTATGATAAATACTGTATTTGATTACCTTCTGCTGAAGTTTTATAAAAAGAGGTCATTCTTTAATGCTGAGGCCGTTTGTGGAGAGTGATCAAGTTGGAACCAATGATTTAGAGAATTCCGGACATGAGAGACTGGAAAGCAAATCAGAAAAAAAGACAAGTGACGAAGGTTTACAGTCAGGAAACAAAATTCTGGCCTTCTGTTCTGGTTTACTTTCTGCAGCGATGAAGCAGAATGCGAAAGCCGGATTTGTCTGAGTTGTCGACCTTTCATCTTATCTACCCATTGTTTTTTAATGGAAATAACACCTAAATCTTTCTGTTTTCTTTATCTCCATATGATTATTACTGTAAAATGTAATCTCGGCACCATAGATTTATATATATATATGCAAATTTTAATTTTGCAATAGTTTTAAACTTTCAGACATCTTGTAAGAATCATGTTAGGAACTCCCTTATCTTTTTATTCAAATTCATCAATTGTTTATATTTTGTCCCATTGATTTATTATTCTCTTACTGTTTATTTATATATCCATATTTTCTGAACCTCTTCAGAGTAATATAGAGACATTGGGCCTTTTATTCCTAAATACTTCGGTGTATTTCTTTCCTTCTTTCTTTCTTTTTTGAGACAGAGTTTCACCCTTGTTGCTCAGGCTGGAGTGCAATGGTGCGATCTCGGCTCACAGCAACTTCCACCTCCTGGGTTCAAGCCATTCTCCTGCCTCAGCCTCCTGAGTAGCTGGGATTACAGGCATGTGCCACCACACCCTGATAATTTTGTATTTTTAGTAGAGATGGGGTTTCACTATGTTGGTCAGGCTGGTCTCAAACGCTTGACCTCAGGTGATCCACCTGCTTTGGCCTCCCAAAGTGCTGGGATTACAGGCGTGAGCCATGGCACCTGGCCACTTCAGTATGTTTCTTAAGAACAAGAACATTACCTTACATAACCACAGTACAGTTTTCAAAATTGGAAAATTAAACATAGACACATTACCATTAGTCAAGTCACAGACAATTTTTTTTCAGTTATCTCAGTGTAGTGCTTTGTAGGTAATTTTATTTTCTCATGCTGAATTGAATCCATTATTACAATTGCATTTTGCTAGGCTCCTTCAACCCAAAACACTCTCCAAACTTAAAAAAAACAACTTTATGAACATTGCCATTTTGAAGGAGAATGGGTATTTATTTAATAGAACGTTCCTCATTTTGGGTATGGCTATTTCCTCATGATTAGATTCTCAATACGTGTATTCTCCAGGAAGGCTGAGCTTCTTTAACTGGGCAATGGTATTTACAAACCAAGATATAGGTGCTAGATGTACTCACTGCTTCATTGCTTTGGTGTTACAATGGGTTATTGGCCTTCTGAACAGACAGAGCTAGGAAATATGCGTATGTGTTGAGGTGTGTGTGTGTGTGTTTGTGTGTAATACACCTGCAGAGAGAGGAAGAAGGAGGAGGAGGCAAAAAATGGGAAAGAATAGACAATGACAAAGTTTTAAATGGAATCAGAAATACAGTTTCATACTGACAAATCCAATTCCATTACAATAAAATACCACAGAATAAATTCTAGTCTTTGTCTTTCTATATTTGTAACTCCTTTATTCAGCGGTGGGAAACTTAACTTTCATAATTCTCAATACAGTCATTCATTTGTTCATTCCTGTAATATATGGAGAGTAGCTTCCAAATTGCAAACAGTACCAGCATATAAAGAAAACCTAATCACTGGAGTTTAATTTTTGTTTATGGGAGTTTTTCCCCCATAAAATTTACCTATGATGATATACACGAATCTTAAGTGCACAATTTGATGAGTTTGATAAATGCATATACATGTAAAATATTTTATCCAGAAATAGAAAGCTTCACCCCAGAAAGTTAAAAATAAATGTAATTAGATGTGTTTTATTAAACATATTTTATAAAACATGCTATAAAGCATTTGTCACACTTATTTTTGACTATTTTGCTTTTGGTGTCATTATAAATAATGTTTTCTAAGTTTCACTATTAAGAATGATGTTAGCTGTAGGATTTCTATAACTCCCTTTATTAGATTGAGGAAGTTCTATTCCTAGTTTGCTAAGTTTTTATCCTGAACGGATGTTTAATTTTGTCAGTTGCTTCTCTTTAGTGATCCTATAGTTTTCCTTTTCAGAATTTTGTTGTGAGCCACATACTGGTTTTCAAATCTTGAAGCAACTTTGTACTCCCAAGTTAACTTTCAGTTGCCTTCTTAAATATTGCTGGATTTTATTTGTTAAAATATGTTAATGATATTTATTTCTAATCTTCATGAGGGATATCAGTCTATAATGTTCTTATGTTGTCTCTTCTGTGTGGTTTTTAATCATAATAATACTGGACTAATACAATAAGTTGACAACTGTTTCTTCCTCTTTTATTTTCTGGGAGTGTTTGTATAGAAATTTTGTTAGTGATAGTATCAGTATCAGTTTTTAAATGGTTTATAGGTTTACCAGTGAAGCCATCTGGATTTGAAAATTGTGAATGTGTGCGTGGAAACTTTTTAACAACAAATTCAGTTTATTTAATAGATATAAAGATCTCTAGTTTATTTTCTCTTAATTGGGCATTAAAAATTTATGTCCTCTAATAAATTTTTCCCTTTATCAGATCTCAAAATTACTGATGTAGACACCCTTCAGAGGCCAGTGTTTGGTGCGTGCATACACACACACATGCCCCAATGGGTATGAAAATGTTATTATTTACATAATGAGATATTCTGTGGAGTACAAGTCTCCTAAGCAAGTTTGTAATAACTTGAGAGAATGAGGAGAGGTGACTGGCTTGAGACATTTGTCGTAGGTAGAGGTGAGGCCTGTGCGAAGGTTTGCAAGTGTAGGTGGTGCTTATGTGTTGAATCTCTTGCTGATGACAAAGTAGAAAACAGTCGGGCTTTTTTAAAAAACAAAACAAAACCGACAAAACCCCAGCTTGCCCCAATATGGAGCGGAAGGGAAGGCGAGGAATTGAGCTTTAAAAGTTGTCAGCAGTCAAGTATCAAAAAACAGTGTCAGACTCTGTATTAAAATTGGCACCAAGCTGTTCTTTATATTTTCTACTGTGTTGTTAATGTCTGTAGGATTAGTAGTTAGGTCTCCCCTTTCGTTTCTGATATTGATGATTCTCTCTACTCTTTATTTGCTTTCTGATAATTTAAACTAAAGGTTAGTAAATTTTTTTTATGAGAACCAACTTTTGATGTCATTGATTTTTCTCTGTTGTTCTATTTTCTACCCTTATTTTTACTATTTCCTTCCTTATTTCTGCTTACTTTGCATTTCATTTTCTTTCCTTTTCTATTTTACTGAGAAACAAGGGTTGAAATTGTGTGTCATGTTGGATGTATCTGTTTCTTCTTTTAGTTTGACCAGCTTTCACTTTACTTATTTTGAAGTTCTATTATCAATATATAGAAATTTAGAATTGTTATGTATATTTTAACCCCTTTGTCATTGTATGAAGTCTCTTCTTTATGCAAGACACTGTTTCGTGTCTGAAATTTACTGTGTTTGATAGTAATATAGCCATTGCCACTTTCTTTTCATTAGTGTTTATGTGGCATATAGCTTCTCATATTTTAGATTATGTTTTTATATTTAAAGACAGTTTCTTGTAGATAGTGTATTTTTCATTCTTGCTTTTTTAAAATCCAATCTCAGTCTCTGTCTTTTAATTGGAGTGTTTAGACCATTTATATGTAGGAAAATTATCGATATGGTTTAAAGCTACTATACTGCTGTTTTCATAACATTTTATTTTTCTTCTTATCTTCTTTTCTGTTTAATTTTGGATGGAAATAAATTTATAATTTCACTTTATCTACATCATAGGTTATTTTCTATACTTCATTTTATATTTTTAGTGGTTCCTCTGAAGATTACAATATACAACTTTAACTTTCACTGTCTACTTTCAAGTAATGTTATATCACTTCCTGTATAATAGCGTACTTTTATTTCCTTCTACTCTGTCCTTTATGCCATTATTGTTACATATTTTAATTCTATTTATGTTACAGACCTTTAATACATTGTTTTTATTTTTGTTTGAGGCATAAACTATCTTTTAAACTAATCAAAAATAAGAAAAATGTATCTAATTCATTTACTCACAGTTTTACCAGTTTCAGTCCTCTGTTCGTGCAAACAGTTCTGTCCAGCTACTCAACAGTGAAGCTGGATTTGGGTTTCGTTGTTACTATGGTTATCTTTAGTACATCAAGGCTTCAGATTTCCTCAGTGATAGGATATCAAGACAGCAAGCAGGGAGCAGGGAGGTTTCTTGCCCCTCCTTGAGTGTAGATGGTTTGACTTGCGTCGAAGCATGTCCGCTGAGGCACTGACAGGCTTTTTTCCTTTTTCTCAGTAGCAGAGTCTCTACCTTACAGTAGAGAAGAATCTGAGATGTAGGTGGGTTTTCTGCCAGATCCCAGTGATAGCTGATTACCTTCCAGTACAGTTCTCATGAATGGTCTGAAGTGCACTTCTGAAGGTAAAACAGTACATATGCTCTGTCTTTCCTCAAAGAGTTTGTAACTCTTTGGAGCTTAGTTTACCTGATTGCTTTACAACCTCTCTGATAGGCTCAAAAATTATAATTTTTACATTATTTGGATTTTTATTATTGTTCGACTGATAGCCAACATTCTATTTTAGCTTTCTATATCCTAAGGAGAAGGGGAATTCACCTAAATTTTATTGTTGTGATTATTTCATTCTAATTTTTTTGTTTAGATTTCTTCTTTAACCCATTCATCATTGAAAAGTGTGTTATATACTAACCAGATATTTCTGGATTCTTCTAATATTAAGTTCTCAGTTTCCTTGCAATGAGTTAGAGCATACTCCTTTTGCTCAGCGAAGTTCATTGTTACCCATCTTCTGAAAAGCCTACTTCTGTCAATTCATTCATCTCGGCCTCAGCCCAGGTCTTTGCCTTTGTTGGAGACATGTTGTGATCATTTGGAGGAGAAAGGGCACTCTGGAATTTTTAGTTTTTAGCATTTTTGATTCTTTCTCATCTTCATAGGTTTATCTACCTTTGACCTTTGCAGCTGGTGACCTTTGGATGGGGTTTTCGTGGTCTCTTTTGCATTCATGTTGTTTTTGTTGCATTCTGTTTTTCTTTTGGCAGTCAGGCACCTCTTCCATAGAGCTGCTGCAGTTTTGCTGGGGATCCACTCCAGACCCTATCCACCTG